TATCTAATTTGTCTGCCTGTATTTATCTCATTTGTCTGCATGTATTTATCTCATTTGTCTGCCTGTATTTATCTCATTTGTCTGCCTGTATTTATCTCATTTGTCTGCCTGTATTTATCTCATTTGTCTGTCTGTATTTATCTCTTTTTTGCCTGTATGTCACATTTGTCTGTCTGCATTTTTCTCATTTGTCTGCCTGTATTTTTCTCACCTCACCTGTCTGCATGTATTTATCTAATTTGTCTGCATGTATTTATCTCATTTGTTTGCCTGTATGTCTCATTTGTCTGCTTGCATTTATTTTATTCGTCTGCCTGCGGTAATCTATTTGATACACTCCTTTTTTTTACTGCTGTGCTGTTTAACCTCTGCACACCGAATTTTCTGTCCGCCTGTGGCACATGCGGGTTATCCAAGTTTGGCAACCATGCACGCGCACGTGCCTCTTTTCAGTTTATTTCTCTCATGTCAGGCCAACAATATGCATTTAAAAAAAAACATTGTACCTGAATAGTTTTTTTTTGCGTCTATGCCAGTCCCATACACTCTGTAGAGGTGAGCTTATATATGTTACATTGGTTCTTTTCGTTTATTTCACCCCATCTCGGGGTTCAAGGAAAGTCCAGTATTATTAAGGGGGGGGGGGGAATTAGTGTAAATCAGTGTTAAATTCACACCCTAACACCCCTATACTTGTGGACATTCCCGCGAACTGTCCAAGATGTGGTGAGATGAAAGAAGAACCGTTACAATGTAAACTTAACTCTCACCCCATACACAGAGACTAGAATAGATCATTAAAAGTAGAGGACCCATTTTCACACCTTCAGGCTTATTGGATGCACATTTAGGGCTAGACCTGTATTTTATAGACCAGTCGGCGCTTCATGTGTCATATGGTCAACTGTCAGTTTTGCCTAGGGCGGCACTGGAACAGGTATGGGCAGGAGTAATTATGGTGGTAAATCGCCGACTGTCTTTCCTTCCCAGGACTTTACCGGGTACGCATTAAAGGCTGCGTCAACTAGGAAACCAGTCATCTTAAAACAATTAAAAACCTTGGTCCTACCAGCATCTTGTAATTACCAGCTGTATCTTAGCCGCGTTGTTACTTGATCCCCGAGAACCATGTGGGTACTGCAGTCTTATATCGGCTAGACTAGTGGTTCTCAAATTTGGGATTGAACGACCCTTTCACATAGGTGGCCAAAAACCATCGCAAAATAAATATTTATTGAAGTTATGTAGTAGCGACGATAATTACTTTATGGTTGGGGATCGCCACAACATGAGGAGCTGTAATAAAAGGTCGCCACAACACGAGGAACTGTAATAAAAGGTCGCCACAACACGAGAAACTGTAATAAAAGGTCGCCACAACACGAGGAACTGTAATAAAAGGTCGCCACAACACGAGGAACTGTAATAAAAGGTCGCCACAACATGAGGAACTGTAATAAAAGGTCGCCACTACACGAGGAACTGTAATAAAAGGTCGCCACAACATGAGGAACTGTAATAAAAGGTCGCTACAGCAGAAGGAACTGTAATAAAAGGTCCCCACAACACGAGGAACTGTAATAAAAGGTCGCCACAACATGAGGAACTGTAATAAAAGGTTGCCACAACACGAGGAACTGTAATAAAAGGTCGCCACAACACGAGGAACTGTAATAAAAGATCACCACAACACGAGGAACTGTAATAAAAGGTCGCCACAACACGAGGAACTGAAATAAAAGGTCGCCACAACACGAGGAACTGTAATAAAGGTCGCCACAACACGAGGAACTGTAATAAAAGGTCGCCACAACACGAGGAACTGTAATAAAATGTCGCCACAACACGGGGAACTGTAATAAAAGGTCGCCACAACACGAGGAACTGTAATAAAAGGTCGCTACAACACGAGGAACTGTAATAAAAGGTCGCCACAACATGAGGAACTGTATTAAAGGGTTGCGGCATTAGGAAGGTTGAGAAACACTGGCCTAGACGTTTGCCTGGCTGGTCGAAGGCCTTAGACTCAAAACCTCATATATAATTGACCTAGGTGGACCTAACATAAAATTGGTAACAAGATAACTCGGAAAGTAAAGACGGCTGGCAAGATGTTGACCACGTCGCCTTTTGAGTGCTCAGTGATTTGTAAAAATTTGCGTCTAGCATAACAGTGTTAGGTTAGTTCGACGTTAGTTTCCTCAAATAGAGTGGGTTTGTTGGGCTGATTGACTTTTCTGAAGGTTACGGGTGTGTCCTGCTCTGTTGTTTGGTTTCCACGATATCTTGCGTTTACGTTTTCATTCTGAGAAAGAGAATGCTTGTGACATAGGTTGCAGCACTCTCCATGGTGGTTGTGTTAAACCTAGTTTCTCCATGTTTTTTGGAGTGTTAAAAGCTCTGGCGTGGTGAAATATACAACACGCGATATCAACGGCATTGCGGAACACCCCCGTAACCGTGTGTGAAGGCCACGGGGCTCAGGAACTACTAAACCAAGTGAGCTAGTATGTATATGGGCGGGGTCTGTGGAGACTAACGTCGAACTAACCCAGTGTTATGCTCATCCATACAGAACTGCCGCGAAAATATCCTGAGCTTTAACTTTACGAGGACAAGTTACCACCCCAATTTCTGGCATGCTCTTCTCTATGTTTGATAATTTTTAAAAGACCCCGCAAGATACCCCATCCGTCTTTAAGATCTTTCTGAAGTGCTACCTGTATATTATTTTTCAGTTATGTCACCTTTATCAAGCCATGAAAATAAATAGTGCATTGGAAACAGGACGCTTGTTGTGTGACCTGGCTTGCCGTTTGTGGGCCAAGGTTGGGGATGTTTTGGTGTGTAGGGTCAGCGAGCTCTAGTTGATTACCTCCCTGCGACTTGCAGCTGCTCTACGTTCGGCTAAAGACGGTTAGCCTCGCACGCTTAACCTCATTTCTCCCTAGCACCAGGAGTAACAGCAGGACCCATCCCTGCGCTGTATAAATTATGTTTTGAAACAACGGGGCATGGTAACGTGGTTCGCATCTTACAGGTTATTCTGACTGATGGGCAAGATCTGTGTCTGTTATCAGTATTCTACTTCTTCTTCCTAGCCTTCACATATTGTGTACTCCCGCAGAAGGTTCTGGTTGTTCGCCCACTTCTGGACTTTCGTTTTGATCCTGAATTTGAATTTTGCATGAACATCCTTTTGATTAGTCTTATTTGTATGCAGACTGTTGGTTCCTTGCTCCTCCGACTTTGAAAAAGCCTCTAAGTCGCCACCTACGAGATGATTGCAGTGGGGAAAAAAAGGGGGGGGGGGCAGAGCAGCGGATCTATTCTGTGTTCTCAAGAATAAAGCACCAGGGCCCAGGTAGCAATACAAATAGTTAATTCAGCAGTTATAAAGCGACAAAGCGAAGTGTAAGATAGGCATTACCACAGGATCTCTTCTCTCTCAAGGGAAGTAATCTCTTATGCCGTTGCCACAGACGCATATACCAGCACAGAGCAAAATCAGTAACCATCAGACTGCATATATCTTTGGCTCCAGCCCCATCCCCCCGCCCCGTATTTAAGGGTGGGCTGAGCCCCAGCTTATTTGTTGGGGGGGGGGGGAGGGGGGCATCCTAGAAAGTATGCAAGGGGGTTAAATGATCTGCGGCATTCCAACTATGTATAGACGTTCTCTCTACAAATATTTTAAACGAAGCACAGTATATGTCATACACTGATTCTGGTATCACTGTCATTAGTGTGCCAAATTGGGTTTTTACTTTGAGACATTATGGAGCTGAAAGAGTTTAGGCTTAAGCTGCTTAAACCCTGACCCTTATAAGGCTGAGGGCCTATGGTGTTGTCTGAGTGCCCCTTTCTCCTCAAAGATTTCTTGTGGTGGTGTGCTTTTCAGGCCCCCATTCTGATATACGTCCCTGTGCAGATGTTGTTTTCACATTTATAAAGCCACCGACCATCCTCTTTTCAAACACCCTTAACGTTCCAAAGTTAGGGCAAGGCTATACAGGTTGACATTCAAGCAGGCCACTGTGCATGTACATATGTCTAGTATATATGAAACTGCATTTGTGTATTTCATTGCGACCACATAGTTTGCCATTCCACTGTACAAATGTAATGGGGAAATCAGTGAACTTTGGTAGTCAACTGGAACAGCTAGCTGTCAGCACATCATGCTGGTGTCAGTTTTAATTGTTTCACCTTCCCCACTTATTAACCAAACTGACAGTTAGCACAGTCTGTCACTCAGTACATGATGTAGAGTGTCTGTTGTTTCATGGCTGTGCACACCTTATGTACTGTTTCCTCCAAGTACTTCTTTTTAGCATTTAAATATCTTAGGAACTGTATGCTTTCTGTCTGTCTGTCTGTCTGTCTGTCTGTCTGTCTGTCTGTCTGTCTGTCTGTCTGTCTGTCTGTCTGTCTGTCTGTCTGTCTGTCTGTCTGTCTGTCTGTCTGTCTGTCTGTCTGTCTGTCTGTCTGTCTGTCTGTCTGTCTGTCTGTCTGTCTGTCTGTCTGTCTGTCTGTCTGTCTGTCTGTCTGTCTGTCTGTCTGTCTGTCTCTCTATACCCCTCCCTTTCCCTCACCCTCCCACCTTTTCTCTGTGTGAGAGTGTGTGTGTTCATGTGTATCTATTGAAAATCTCAGCAGGATGCTAAGCAAGACAAAGAAACTGTATCCTATGTTATATATTATCACAGTCGACATCACTGCACAGTGGGAGTTTCCATGCCTGCTCTGTCCTCCAATGCAGCAGCCAGTCCAAGATGCCTTTACTGATTGTTCCCATGAGGAGCTGGTCATGTCTCCTATCTCGGCCTCAATGGCAGAATAGACATGCTTCATCCTGCCTTTCTCCCATGCCACGTAATCTTGTTAGTGTCATAGATTGGTCATTATATAGGATATACTGTGACACTGTGTATTGCTAGTGTCCCCCTGTCATCAGTAGTTCCTGCAGTGCTAAATTGATCATGTATGTATGTCAACAGTGTCTCCGCTGAGGTTACAGACAGGTGAGCCTCGATCAGCACCCCCTGGACTCCACCAGAGATCTCTGTCCACTGACCACAACAACCACACTCATGCCATTATCTACAAAACTGATGTCCTTCATAGGGTATGTTCATCCTCCGAGATGTCTGTATTTGTCTTCCACTGTTCTTATATATTCAATATGACCTCTGTGGCCATGTTAAATGCTGTGGTGACCTCCACAGATGTGGATACAAGACATTGAAGATGCATTGGATAAGAAAGCACATAGGGCTGGAGAAATGGGTAGAGATGGAGAGACTTTTAGGTGTGTCATGAAGAGAGTGACTTTCTTGAAAGGAACTGGTGATTCTAACCTCAATTTTTTTTCTGTGTAGGTTCTGGGTGTCTGCATCTATGGAGTCTATAAAACCCCAATACAAAATGTATTAGGCTATCTACAGACTATAAATTAGTCTGAAAACTATATTAATGAACCTACAGACTGTATGGACAAGACTACAAATGGTATGGACCAGTCTGCAAACTACATGGACCAGTCTGCAAACTACATGGACCAGTCTGCAAACTACATGGACCAGTCTGCAAACTACATGGACCAGTCTGCAAACTGCATGGACCAGTCTGCAAACTGCATGGACCAGTCTGCAAACTACATGGACCAGTCTGCAAACTACATGGACCAGTCTGCAAACTACATGGACCAGTCTGCAAACTGCATGGACCAGTCTGCAAACTACATGGACCAGTCTGCAAACTGCATGGACCAGTCTACAGACTTTATGAATAAATCTGCTAACTGTAGTGACCTAAATGCAAACTATAAACCAGTCTGCAAAGTGTGTGTACCAGGCTACAGAGTATTATAGCCAAGCTACAAACTGTATGTAATAGACTACACACTATAAACATGTCTATGTATCAGACTCTATGTATGAAAACTCACCAACATTGGGTTATTTTGTTAACTATTGGCTACTACATTGTAACATGTTATATAGTTGGAACAGTATATTCCCAGCTTATTTGTTTCTCATCCTGGAGATGTTAACCCTACCAAACCTGAGGCCCTGAACCTAACTGTCCCCTATACCTGAGCTCCTGGGCATTAACCCTACCAAACCTGAGGCCCTGAACCTAACTTTCCCCTATATCCTGAGCTCCTGGGCATTAACACGAAAAAACCAACATGATATACAAAAATATTAGTTACACGCAAACAAGTACTTAGAATAAGAAGAAACTTGGAGACATTGTAGAAAATAGGTTGACCTTTTATCTAGAGCCAATATTCCCCCTTTTTGTGCCAATCCACCCAACAGGATCGGCCTTGTTTCACAAAGTGAGCACCAGATGTTGCTGTTTGAGGGACACGCCCCGTTCTCTTACTATAGATCTAGTTTCAAATCTATATTTTTAAAGATTCTCCTCATCACACGAGCTCCCACTGACTGTGTCACTTCAACTGGGAACATATTCTTCATGAAATTCTGACTCCTCAGAGTCTAAATCAACCAAAGTATCAATCACCTGGCATAAAACCATCTTGGTGCTTGAACCCAGCTGCCAGCCAGTATGTGTGCTGTACTGAATCCCCATTACTGTCTTGCACAACCCCACTGGTTTCTGAGCTATTTAAGGTTTGTTTGTTTGTTTGTTTATTGAATGGATGAACATCCTGGCACACGGGTGTATCCCAAAAGTGCTTCCATTCTACTTCTAACTCAAGCCTGAGTCTTAATTCCTCAGCGCAGTGCACAAACGCCTTTGCACTGGCAAGGATCCTGAAATACTTTTGGTAGAATTTTAACTCCAAATTTTGCCCGGGCAGAGCCGTAAGGCTACTCTTTTTCGATTTCCAGCTGCCAAGGGATTTTTTTTTTACATGCGCAATGATACAGACGGGCGTCCATTCTTACTACCCAGAGACCAGGGGAAATTACTAGAAGTCCATGTGAAAAAATCCCAGCCTTTGCCGTAGTTTGAACTTAGGACCTCAGGCACTTGAAGAGGATGCCATACCTCAAGACCATTCAGCCCCAGAGCTATTTAAGGGCAACAAGGTTTCTGCAACACAGTCCCCTTGGTGATGGGACTTTGATACTAGGTCAGGAGAAGTCGTAAGCCAACCTCACCCAGATATATGCAAACCCTTGTCAGGGCTGAATCGACCTGAATACTGATTTATATTGGGCAGAAAACATAAAAACTCAAGTCATCCAGTGTATTCACAACTAATTAACATATGAGAGATTATATGAGGTGCGATGAAGTGACTGTCTTTATAGCTTCTTGATCACTGAAACCAAACATAGATACATGTTCTACAGCTGACGGTGTCCAAGTGGTTCCATGATGTGGTTTCCCACTTGTCACAACAATCACAGCTGTCTGCTCTACCTTGAGGCTCCTCATATAACCAACTCTGCTACAGTGGTGTCACATACCGCTTGTGTTATGTGCCTGATTAAGGATTTCTCCTAATGAACCAACAGCACTCTGAAATAGTATAAATATTGGAATGTTGGCTTGTATTGGTAGTATCCCGGCCAATATACACACCCAACCTATTTTAGGAGTAGGGCAACACAAGCTATGGCACTACAAAATATATATATATATATATATATATTCCTAGGTGCAACTTGGCCGAACACGAACATCCCCACTACTACAAGAAAATAGTTCCCAGACTATGATAGTGTACTATCACAGTCATGTTAACACAGATTAAGATTACTATTTATAAATACATATACCCCAGACAGCTAAGAACAGTGAATGATGGACACTCAAGTCAATAATGAAAAATTCCAAAGACATGTAATAAATTCAACATATACATGATATAAGAGTCAAGCAAATGGAATTCGATCTAAGCTCTGAAAATTAAGAAACAACAGACATTAAATAGGACTGTCATATGGAATTCCTAGACCAGCAGCCGTTGTCATCATCATACTCATGTGGACAATGAACATATGAGCACACCACAGAATGATATGAGGTCCACTACTTATCTGTTGATAATAAGTCCGGATCAGTGCACTCGTGTCTGCTTCATAGTAGTATGACATGGCTAGTACTCTGTTCTGGTGTGTCACGGGTAAATTACTGGAGTTCAGCCTTCTTCCTGAACGACCTATAAGTCAGTGTCTATCTATAAACAAGACAGTCACATACTTTTTCCTTCACTACTGGATACACGAATCAGCTTCTTGAGAGAATTCTCTGCCACTAAACTGTCACTGGCATCATTCTTCACTCTCTTGGCATAGGAATAGTGTTAGTGTAGCACCCATGATAGTGTCTGCTGACTTGTTTGTGGTAACGTAGAGGTTGGAGAATATGTGGACTGATGATTCACTGCCGGATCTCCAAGGATATCACCCCAAGCTCAGGATTCCTTCAGGTAATAAACTAGTACTTTGTTCTAGACAGAATTAAGCACAAAGGCAAAACACTTCTGTTCTACTTGGAAGCCCGGCTGAGAATGGGGGATAAAGAATAATAATCCAGAGAATCTCTACCCTACAACTGTAAGTTTGAAAATGTAGACTTTTCAAGAGACCCAGAACATATAGAAATATCTATTCCGTCAGATAAAGGCATAAATAGACATGATGGACAATATACCCACCGGACGGATCTATATTTGAATGTGACCTGCCCGCTAGGGGCGCCAGCGTCACAAATAGTCTCAAGTGTAGGGGTGGTTTTGGCCATTCCACGACAAGTGGCAAGTCTTAGTTTCATTTGCTTTCCTGTGAAAATGGTAGTCATTGTCTCATTTGGGGCGTATTGGAGAAAAGAGGAAGATGAGATATTGCATTTTTTTTTTAAAGCTACTGCCTTCTTTGTTTGATATATTCTCTTTATTCTGTTACAGTTGAGTGTGGATTCAGATCATATGGAAATTGAAGATCTTGGTATGTAAACTGATATGTGTTTAGTCTGAGTTAAGGGGATTTTATATATGTGAAATCCTCTTTTTTTTTTAGAATTCTGTGTTTGTAAAATCCTGTTACTCAAACTGCACGCCAAATCCTCTTGTAAAAACTGAAATCCTAACATTCAGAACTGTAAGACATAGCATCTTTCCCTGTGTAAACATGATGAAACCATGTTGAGATGTTGAATAGGTTGCATCTAAGACATGCAGTACATCCCTGCCAGCTTCTGCTGTGTGCAAACTACAAAGGTTGTCATTGCTGCTGATGTCAAAGCTGGGCTCACTGTGCTGTCTGAGTCTGCCTCAGTTTTATTGACTCTTCTGGCCGTTTTTGGCAGTCTGCAGTCAGTATGACCTTGGCCTAGTTCCTGAGATAAACAACATTGATTTTTTCTTCAGAAGCATATTGATCTGGTGATTTTGATACTGGAAATAATTCTCTTCTGTGAGACTTCAGGCGTGTTTGTTTGTGTGACTGCCTGACATTAATGTACTGGTTGCAGAAGTTTGAGGAATGTTATATTTGGTTGGTTTAATCCTATGTAATGACTGGCTATTTTTTTCCTAGATTGCACAACTCTGGGTCAGCCTAAAAGTGGGTCTTGAGTCATTGTCAGAATGTACTGGATATAGCATTTAGGATGTAAGGTGAAAGGATGTGTAAAGGAACTAGTCATTCAGTCTAATTATACAAAACCTAGTAGATGTGATGATACTTCCCATTGCAGTGACAGTATTTGCCATGGCACTCACTACATTTACTTTCATGAGACTCAGAGGTGCTGGTACCTGGGGGCCTCTTGAGGCTGAGTACTTTCTGAAATTTGTCTGTGTCTGTGTGCCAAATGAAATTACCTTTGCTTTGACTTCTGTTAACACCTTTCCATTTTTCTAGATGATAGTGTTCCACTTTGCTATACGGAGACATGGCAGGCTTGTGATTGTGAGGCTATACAGTTGTGAAAATTGACTGAAGTTATAATGTTTCCTGTGTAAATTATGAAATGTTTGCTGTAGAGATAATCCCAGTGTTTGGAAGAAGTCATCCCTAGTTAGTTGCCCTCACAACATGCTAGTTACGGGGCAGTGGGTGGGTCTGTTCTATTCTTCCCTAGTTAGTTGCCCTCACAACATGCTAGTTACGGGGCAGTGGGTGGGTCTGTTCTGTTCTTCCCTAGTTAGTTGCCCTCACAACATGCTAGTTACGGAGCAGTGGGTGAGTCTGTTCTGTTCTTCCCTAGTTAGTTGCCCTCACAACATGCTAGTTACGGAGCAGTGGGTGGGTCTGTTCTATTCTTCCCTAGTTAGTTGCCCTCACAACATGCTTGTTACGGGGCAGTGGGTGGGTCTGTTCTGTTCTTCCCTAGTTAGTTGCCCTCACAACATGCTTGTTACGGGGCAGTGGGTGGGTCTGTTCTGTTCTTCCCTAGTTAGTTGCCTTCACAACATGCTTGTTACGGGGCAGTGGGTGGGTCTGTTCTGTTCTTCCCTAGTTAGTTGCCCTCACAACATGCTTGTTACGGGGCAGTGGGTGGGTCTGTTCTGTTCTTCCCTAGTTAGTTGCCTTCACAACATGCTAGTTACGGGGCAGTGGGTGGGTCTGTTCTATTCTTCCCTAGTTAGTTGCCCTCACAACATGCTTGTTACAGGGCAGTGGGTGGGTCTGTTCTGTTCTTCCCCCAGAGTAGAACCAGGTTGACCCTGGCTTAAATGGCTGGGCCAGCATTTTGTTGACCACATCGCCTACCACGTGCCAGTTAGTCTGTAACATTTCCTTGTCCAGTTTACCATCTTCAGTGAATGTTGTTCCAAGATATTTAAACTCTAATGCCTGTTTAATATATGTATGCTTTAATGCTACATTTAAATTCTGAATGTTTCCTTCTTCCTATTAACATTGCTTTATTAAACCTCCACTTAGTCACTGTTTATGATATGCTTGGGGGGGGGGGGGGGGGAAGGCCTTGTCTCAAATGGGGGCATGGAGCCCACAACAGGACAAAGTCTTTCTATACATAAAAACAGCTGCATACTTTGAAATGTGGTGTGATAGAGTAGTTCTGAAACCAGGGTTGAAAAAATTGACCTGCTTCTTTTGTGGCACTGTTCAAAATGTGTGCTTCTTTGAGTTAGCTTTGTACTGGACACAACAGCTACAGAATTAAAACCCACTCAGTTGTTTGTCTGGCTGAATTTGTTTTTGATAGTTAATACTCCATGCAACATGTGCTAAGCAGTGCATGCAACAGGTGAGTATTGTGACTAATTTACGAAAGTACTGGTCTCCCACATCAGAGGAGTTTTCTGTCTCGTTGAGGCCAAGATTGTATCTGCCACAGGTTAAATGTGCAGCTGGGTCTGCACACAGGCCACTGGCCACATCCAGGTATATGCACCTACTGGACCCAGCACAGGTGAATTAACACTGCCATGCCGTGATATTATCTTGTAGAGTTGTTAACATGCAGCATTTTACTTGCTCCACAGATGAGAATGAAGATCAGGTGTTTGCCAAGTTCATGAGGGCACATAAATGCTACGATATCATACCCACGAGTGCCAAGCTTGTGATCTTTGACACACAGTTGAATGTGAGTAAACAAAACCACCTGTTTGCCAGTTTGCTTTCCTCATTTGTTGTATAAGTGAATTGGAGAATACAGTTGCTTGGTAGAATGTAATTTCATTTGTTCTTGTGTGTGTGGTTGCACATGTAAACTCTTTAAGCAGGGGATTCTTTCAAATACTTTTTCTGTGTATTTTTATGTCTTTTGTGGTGTCTTAACAGAGAAAGCATTATTGTAAATAGGGCAGTCCTGTGGGAACACTGTCATTTTCAGAAGATGTAAATGTGGAGATCACACTTCCCATATTTCATATTTGGCGATCTTATATATATTCTGTAACCTTTAGGACATGTGATCACATTCCATTGACTTTATCATTGCTTGTGTTCACACATGTTTGGACCTCGCAGACATTCTTTCCATTCACTAACTAGTTTCTTGCCAAATGCAGACACTGCTTAACTTGTTATTGTTTTAGATATTTGATGTCCAGAATATATCATCCATCTTCATCTTCTTTTGTCTTTGACATCAACCATGCTAAATATTCAGTCCTGCATTCCTTGCATCTATTGTTGCTGCTGGTTCCTTATAACTTGTCTTGCAATGTAGCTCCCCCGAGCCAGATCCCCAAGCTTTGCCAGGAGAATACAGTGCAGTCCTACAGTACATACTCATGGCAGATTCTTGTATAAATATGTTTGTATAAGTGTGCTGCAAGTCTCCACTGTCCTGTCTGACACCTAAAGATTATTGTTTGTTTCTTTCTGAACAAGTTTGTTTATGCTGTAACTCTCTAGTTTGCAGACTGTCATACCTTTTGCAGCCTCTTTGAAGGATTGCTTTAGGACATTTTAAGGTTTTCTCAAGATCCGCTGCAGATTAGGTTATGAAAGAAGCTATATGGTGGAAGAAGCTATGGAGGATCATTTCTTTCTCTCTTGTCAGCTCATCTATCAGCTCATCTGCCCTCTAATTTGCTAGAATACTGCAGTTGACAGGTGCCCAATGAAGGACCAGCTCTGCTTCCCTGGAAAGCAAGCAAACCAGTGCCAGGACCCAGCTCTGCCATTAGTTATTCTTGTTTTCTGCCTGAAAGTGCTTGGAGAACAGCCAGTGAGTGACTGAGTATTACAATTTTGTGCCGGTATCTTCATCACTTGCTACCGCATCTGCAAAGGGATGTCCTTACCTGTTACATGTTTTTTCATCATATTCCTATCACTTGTGAAACAATATCATGTCGACTGTAACATTTCCAAGATCCATAGACAAGTTTCTTTCAGGGCAGTAGAATTTATCAGTTCAAGTGTTCATTGTCTGCTATTTTAGGTGAAGAAAGCTTTCTTTGCTCTTGTCTACAATGGTGTACGAGCAGCGCCTCTGTGGGACAGCACCAGACAGGATTATGTGGGTGAGTCTTGTAGCTAATTACTCCACAGTTGTCTGTAGGCAGTGAGTTAGTGAATGATAACAGATAAAATACTCAAAGACCTAAGGAGGAAACATGACTAGCCCCTACCCTGTCCCAGCCTGTCTCTTATTTTCTGTGCTGAATCATACTACTATACATCACAGCAGTTCCATTATTGGCCTTGCATTGATTACTGGTTAAAACATAAACTAGTTTGGAGAGGGGAAGGAAACCCCTGCAGTGTAGTTCCAATGGAGATGATACTGTGTTGGGAGACAAATCTTTTCACCAATGTCACTTCAACAGGTGCAGGTTTGTTTCTTCTAGATGATCTGAATTGGTGCATTGGGTTTCAGAGTTAATACCGTCTCCCAGAGGATTCATGACCAACCAGCCAAGCAACCAACCATTACTCACTTAAGAGTGGCGCGAAGAGGTCCTAGATAGTCTACAATTAATACTCATTGCCCTATGACTAAATAAAGGCAGTGTTTCCCCACCACTGTTCATTACCTATGTCCAGAACTGTGTAAGCAGAAAGACGTGGTAGTGAAGCTGCACTTGCCCTGGTAAAACAGGCAGTTCCTGTTAAGAGGGTTGTATTTATATTTTGTAAAGGATTCCCTTATTTGCTTCCTTTTATTGAACTTTTACTGTGGTATACACTGGATGAGATGAGATACAGCCAAATATGCCAGCAATAAATTGTACAGTCTATTGTTTGTGTTTTCTTTGTTCAAATGTAAGTAAATAGTTGAATTATTTATATTGTTGAGCTTATTGTTTGAAAACTGTAAATTAGTCCAACATAACACACTTTGTTTGTCTCACTTTAGTCTGTCAGCCTGTCCATTCATTTACCTGCCTGTCCATTCATCTGTTTACCCTTCCTTCTACTTTTCAGCTTCCCATCCATCCACATTTTATCTATCTGTAATTCCATCTATTTGTTCACTGCTATGTCTTTTTTCTGCACAGAAAGTTTACAAACAGGTCTTGGCCAATTGTCTCTTGTGTCATCAATCAGCAAGTCTTTTACAGAATGTCGCTTTCTTCACGGCACATGGCCTGAAAGTATCCCTTTCCCTAGCCAGCTCTCCGGCACCTGTGCTTTCAATGCCAATGCTTCTCCAATGTCCTGTATCCATCTTCACGGTGGTTTACCCCTGCCTGGCCTTCCACAAACTGTACCCTCCATCACCGTCTTTTCCAACCCTCCATGATGCTTGATGTGGCAAACATACTTCAACTTTCGGGACAGGATGCTGTTTATGATGTTCAACTTGTTTAGAATGTGTATTTCCTCTTCTTGATCCATAAACTTTGTCAGCTTCCGTGTTGAGTTTCTAGGGATATATAATGTGGTAGTCTCCCCTTGCTTTCCACATCCACGCGGCTGAGCGTCTCAACCTTCGGCAATCTTTTGGAATGCTTGGGTACGTAAGTACCCTGCTCTGCATTGTTATTTCTAATAGCAGATAACACCACAGGGTGGACCATTTATTCCGGTGAATACTCAGTTTCCAAGACTGCGTTAGCCACACCGAGGTGTGTTTCCATCCTCCACCACAAGGAGGTGCAGTTTGGATTTCCCCTTCATTAAAACGTGAGGCCAGTGTGGCATTTCCCATGCTCTCTGAGTATTTTTGTGTGTGGAGAAGGTCCCTTGTGTAGGGGGCAAGAATTGCTTCAACCACTAAAGAAAATTGACTCTATAACTAGTGTTCGATGAATGATAAGTAAGTACCTGTACACTATAGCAGACATGTTGATAATTTTTTTATTTATTTAATTTTTTCATAATATTTTTCTTATCTTGAGTAGAGTTTCTTTTTCTTTTTCAGGGATGTTGACAATCACAGATTTTATCCACATCTTGAACAGAGTTTACACAACTCCGGAAGTAAGTGATTGTTCTGTTATTAATTTGATTTTGTCTGAAAGAAAGCAGATGTGACCCTATATAAAGTTTTATATATTTTCCCATTATTCATATTGTCTGTAAAAAACAGCAATGGAGACGGTGCGGCTGAATTAAGAAGGAATGTGGCCACAGCAGTGCAGAGGGAAAGCAACATTAAAAGCCTAGGGTAGAATACCAGCAAATAAAACAAGAGACAAAATGCATTAGAGTGTTCATCTTCCTGACTGCCTGGCAACTTATTAACTAGAATAGTCAGGTACATGTTATAGTTTTGTGAAACAATGATGTTATAGGGTGCTTTCATGTGAAACCTGTTCCAATGGCTTTATTACCAAATAGGGAAAGAGAAACATCAGCAGGTGTAGCAGTATTAAAAAAGCATTCATTTTGAATGAATAATGCACCTCATATTGATTAGAAAAAGTGGCTGGCAAGCTTGCATCGTATTGCTTGGATAGGCGGTGAATGCTATACAAAAAAAAGTATTGTGGTTGCTGTCTGAACCAAATGTTGTGTTTACCCTGTTTATTATGTCTGCAACTTTATGAAATGGTTGCCTTTGATAGCTTGTTTTGTAGAGGCTGGAACAGATGAAAATCTCATGGTGACAGTCAGAACCATAGGCTGGATGTTGCAGGATTTTCCACTTCTTCATTGAGTATGTGTGTATTTTCTATATGGTTCAGCTCCGTGGTTTCTCTCTACACATTGCTGTAGATAAGAAGATTTAGTTTGGTAGATAATGAAATCCTCTCTGTTTTGTATTCCAGGTTAGAATGGATGAGCTGGAGGACCATAAGATTCATAACTGGAGAGGTGAGTAGAGTGACTGCATGTCACCTCCTATCTGATTACATCAGCTGTCTTTTTTTGGCTTTAGGGGGTTTAAGTTCACTTTGACAATCCTGACAGTCTGGGATTTAGTCAGCTGCAGGTGATTTATTAGCAGACTGTTTTGCAATGATTTTGACAGGTTTAAATGTCCTGCCATTGAGAAAGCGAGGGACAACTACTGGTGCTATCTGCTGAACAAAGAATTATCTAGAAACACTGAGTCAAACGATTCAACAACCAGTAAGGTTTGGGTTCATGTGTTCTTAACTTCTTCCAGTTACTTCATCAAAGAATTGAGGGGATTTTCGGATCTTCTGTATGCTATTTCCACCGCACTGTTTAAGTTTATGTTGATTTTTTTAAGGCTGTTCGTAATGTCATCGTTTCATATCTTCTTATTTGCATTCACCAGCTCAGCACTCTGGCAGAAAGTTCTGGTTGTTTGTCCACTTTTGAACTGCAATCCTGCTCCAGAACCTGAGTGTTGCATCTGCATCCATTTTACAGATCTGATTCAGTTGAAAGCAGACTTTTGGTTCCTTGCCTCTCAGGCAGACGCACTCTGACTTCAAAGGAAGCTCCCCAGTTAGTCGACTCTTGCGACATGCTTTTGGGTAGGCAGTGGGTGGATTCTTGTTTTCCCCACAATGGGGCCCCGTAACCCACACAGGGAATCGTTCCATATGTGCATGGTCTTCCCCTTGCTCTATGTCCATTATATTTCTTTAGTATGACTCTCTCTAGCAGCCCATTCTTGTCTGATGGCCAAGCCAACTTAACTGTTGCTCTTTCATCAACTATATGACTTGTTTCATTCCTAGTTTTTCGATTTCTTCATTTATTTTTATTTTTTCTTGTTAAACTGCAACTTTTCTGAAACATCTCTCTTGTTATAATTGTGCATTCATTAGTTTTATTTAGTAAGGGTCCATATTTGACACTCTCAGCATTTAAAAGCTGGCTAAAATATAGTTCTGATTAGATTTGCCTTGGGAGACAAATGTATACTTGTGTGTGTCAAAATGGTGTTAGTAATTCCAGTAGCTGTTTTGCTTTAGCACATCTATCCATTCTTCTTTCTGATGTCACCTTAGAAATTTAAATTCACTTGTTTGCTTTTTCTCTTTTTAATTATTTTTTTTATAGATGTTTTTCACAACCTGAAAAAAGGGACGTGCAGGGATTGTGAAACTGCTTCCACAACCCTAATACCACAGACAAAAACTGAACTGATGCGTTTATAACCTTATCACCCAGAACAGGCTAAATCTAGTTGTTTCTGGTTTTGACACCACACTAGAAATGCTAATATATGGCCATTTCTGCTGTAACCTGTACTGGACAAGCATAGTTATGGCTTCTATTCACATCTGTGCAGTGTTTAATAGGTCAGGATGTGAATATAGAAATGGAAATACTGATTTGCTTGGTGGGGGGGGGGGGGGGGGGGGGGGGGTTATGACAGATTGTAATGGCTTTTTCAAAAAGCTAAGTTATGTCAGATTTCCACGTTGAAGAACAGACCATACACAAGTTCAGTTAGTTGTGAATGTTTTGCAAGACTGTGTTTTCAGGTTTTCAGTCTGACGCGCTAATGATATTTGTTAGTCTTTAATGTGATAATGTTCAAGTTATTAGAGGTCTGTCAGTGTGAGATTGGTGTGCAGAGACTTTTTAGCCTGTTCCAATACTAATTAGCCATCTGTTTAGTGCACATGTTGCAGAGCTTTACTTTCCCTCTCCAAGCTTAGATACCAATGGGGCAGTACCTGGTTTGCTTCAGCACATTGTGTTGCTTTTTCTATCCATCTTCCTTTGATGTGACCTTAAATATTTAAATTTACTTTAGGTCAGCACTAAAACTGCATATTAGGATGTAACCAGGTCACGGTTGAGCACAGCAGGCATGCATCTAGTCATTCTGAAGTCTAGGCTGGTCATGTTTCATGTTCAGATTGTTGGTATTTCATAGTCAGCCTAATACTTGCAAGAAACTCTCCACACACAGACGAGAGTCTAGAGTTTTAACAAGTATCTGTTTTTCAAGTCTATGGTTTGTAGCAAAGAATAGGTCCACTGGCTTGATGCACACACTGGACTGAAGTCAGTATTTTTAATTTTAGCTGTTTTAAAAGCTAAACAAATAAAAATCTTAAACACCAAATAATAAGCAAAACATCTACATGTATGTATACAGATCTTTAAATGTGATGATATTCTGACATGCTATCATTTTACTACTGGGTGCCTGGAAGTTTAAAGAATAAATGCATTGGCAAGATTGTGTTAAAAAAAAAAAAATTATGTTGGGTCCAACAGAGATGGTCAAGGAGAAACAACGATCATTTGTATCTATCAACCCTGATGCCAGCTTGTTTGATGCCATCAAGACGCTGATAGAGAGCCGGGTCCATCGACTGCCAGTCATTGATGAAAATACTGGAAATGCTATCTACATTCTGACACACAAACGCATCCTGCGCTTCCTTCATTTATATGTAAGTTTCAAACCTATTGACATTTGTTTCTCATGTTATGTGTTTGTGCATCCACTAGACTCCGTGAGGAAGGGCTGGATTTCCCTTTTGTCTACCAGACTGCTTTGGTTCAACAGATCACAACAGCATATACCAGTCGAGAGATTTAGTGCAGTTTGTTAGTCAAGAGATGCTTGTGGCAGGGATGTGTAATGTTTTTGATCTCTTTTCCTCACAAAGTGAAACTATTTAGCAAATCTGAAAGAGGTGAAGGTATTCATGTAGGAAGATGTGACATCAACAGTATAAGATATGTAGATGATACAGTGTTAATTGCAGGTAGTGTAATAGATTTGCATTGTTCAGTGCATAAAGTAATAGTTCACTTGTGAGAAGTTAGGCTCAGAGAAAACAGAAATTACGGTCATCACAGAGGAGAAAGAATACCAAAGAGTGAAATATATGCAAACGGCAAAATTCTTTAGCAAGTCAATAAATGTAACTATCTTGGAACTGTCGTAACATCTGACTCAGAGATGCCTTGCAGAAATTAAAAAGGAATCCCCACAACAAAAAGTTGCTTCTAACAAAATCTGAAAAATTCTTAACAATAAGAAAAACTGTGAGCTGTGTTTTTATATGCATGTGAGATATGCGCAGTTTGCAGACTATATGAGAAACATTTACTAGATACTTTATTTATTGTCCAGGATTCAAAGTCATCAGTTAAACCTGGCTCTATATAGCATGCAGGTGTTCTTTTCTTAACAGTCAATGACAATGGAATTATTGCATTCAATGTTCTTCATTTGATCAAATGCAGTTTTATCATATCCTATTCTATTCTTTATCTCTGATATATTGTCCATTAGATGTTACCTAGATTTTCAGTAATTTCCCTGTTGATACCGACCTCCTGAATTGAAAATCTCTTCCTAAATATTTCTGGCTTAGGTTGCGTTCTGAGAGGCTGTATGTTTCTGGTGGTGTTGCTGATGTTGATGTTGCTGGATTACAGTGTTGTATTACATTGATTATTAGGCTCATATTAATGCCATTGTACTTGGAAATGATTGGGCAGATTGGCTGGCCATCCAGGAGCACAGGAGGTCAACAATGTGGGGGGAAATGTTGATAAGGCTCCAGTCAGTCGGCATGGCACTGGATGATGAGCTATCTTGTTGACTGATGATCCTGCTTGTGTATTCTGAAACAACAAATTTGGCACTTTGGGATTATTGTCTGGTTTCTTGTTGCAGATTAAAGAACTACCCCAGCCTTCTTTCATGAAAAATTCAATCAAAGACCTTGGTATTGGAACTTTTGAGAATGTCATCACGGTAAGTGGACCACAATCATTATAAACCTTTCTGAGAATGTCATCACGGTAAGTGGACCACAATCATTATAAACCTTCCTGAGAATGTCATCACGGTAAGTGGACCACAATCATTATAAACCTTTCTGAGAATGTCATCAAGGTAAGTGGACCACAATCATTATAAACCTTCCTTCCTGAGAATGTCATCACGGTAAGTGGACCACAATCATTATAAACCTTCCTGAGAATGTCATCACGGTAAGTGGACCACAATCATTATAAACCTTTCTGAGAATGTCATCACGGTAAGTGGACCACAATCATTATAAACCTTCCTGAGAATGTCATCACGGTAAGTGGACCACAATCATTATAAACCTTTCTGAGAATGTCATCACGGTAAGTGGACCACAATCATTATAAACCTTCCTGAGAATGTCATCATGTTGGACCACAATCATTATAAACCTTCCTGAGAATGCAGTAAGTGAACCACAATCATATAAACCGTCTGAGAATGTCATCACGGTAAGGCAATCATTATAAACCTTTCTGAGAATGTCATCACGGTAAGTGGACCACAACATTATAAACCGTTCTGAGAATGGTTTTCATTATAAAACCTTTCTGAGAATGTCCTCATGGTAATTGGACCACAATCATTTTAAACCTTTCTGAGAATGTCATCACGGTAAGTGGACCACAATCATTATAAACCTTTCTGATGTTCGACATGCTGTCAGGCTGACACTGGCAACCATAAAGGTTTCTGGAAAATCTTTCAAGTTTTTTTCTTTAAATCATGTCATACTCACATGTTTGTTAGCAAAAAGAGAAAAACAACCTAGATTCGGTTGCAATAGGGTATTAGAAGTTGCAAATCACTTTGATGGGCCTGAAGAAGGTGACTGAAAAGCCATTTTGCTGTAAATAAAAACACAATCAGAGCAGATAAAGATACCGATAACTCACATGTATTAATTGAACAAAAAAAAAAACTTGGAAGAATCAAGCAAAGTCACACTGTTTTTGGTACTGACCTGTGGTTACAAAATACTAACATAGTGTGTCAGCAGCTGATTAGTATTCTAGTCAATGTATAAACATACCAGTCCCTTTCTAGGTACTTCAAGAGTTAACTATAAGAGTATCAACTACCAGCAACAGTGTGTAGACTGGGTGTTTTTTTAAATACATCCTTCTGGTTTTAATCCTTCATGATACAGTTATAATTATCATCCTCATTTTCTGTTCTGTCTTGTGAAATAATATTGCGGCTTTATTGCTTTTTCAGGGTGTCTCTTCGAATGAATGTTATATGTGTACTTTCCTGTAGCCTGTGAGAAAATCTTAGCTACTATTGTACTCCCTTCTATTCCACTATTAGAGAATGTTTCTACCGTTATTCCCTATGTCTGTTCCACTGCTAAGGAGTGATTTACTATTGTCTTCACATCTGCTGACACAGGCAACTCCAGAAACTCCGCTGATCACAGCCCTCAACATGTTTGTGGAGCACAGGATATCAGCATTACCAGTGGTCAACAGCTCAGGGCAGGTCACCAACATCTATGCCAAATTTGATGTCATTGTGAGTACTTGTTATCTGGAAACAATCACTGCTACATTTACTTTCATGTTTCTACTGTTGTCTTCACTGTGAGTACTTGTTATCTGGACACAATCACTGCTACATTATACTTTCATGTTTCTACTGTTGTCTTCACTGTGAGTACTAGTTATCTGGACACAATCACTGCTACATTACTTTCATGTTTCTACTGTTGTCTTCACTGTGAGTACTTGTTATCTGGACACAATCACTGCTACATTACTTTCATGTTTCTACTGTTGTCTTCACTGTGAGTACTTGTTATCTGGACACAATCACTGCTACATTACTTTCATGTTTCTACTGTTGTCTTCACTGTGAGTACTTGTTATCTGGACACAATCACTACTTGTTTCTACGGGTGTCTTCACTGTGAGTACTAGTTATCTGGACACAATCACTGCTACATTACTTTCATGTTTCTACTGTTGTCTTCACTGTGAGTACTTGTTATCTGGACACAATCACTGCTACATTACTTTCATGTTTCTACTGTTGTCTTCACTGTGAGTACTAGTTATCTGGACACAATCACTGCTACATTATACTTTCATGTTTCTACTGTTGTCTTCACTGTGAGTACTAGTTATCTGGACACAATCACTGCTACATTACTTTTTGTTTCTACTGTTGTCTTCACTGTGAGTACTTGTTATCTGGACACAATCACTGCTACATTACACTGTTACTTTGATTTCAGACACAATACAAACACATTTACATGGACACACCTTAAATGCTTCTTTTCCTGATCAGATGCTACAAGATGTAAAGGCTGATATGTTTTACTGAGACACTAGTAGTAAACTTGTTATTTCACATGTCACCCCCTCTGTACTCAAACCAGACTTAACTCCAATTAAAATGGCCTTGAAAGTATTTAAAAATGTAAGAAAATATAGGGCAGCACAATTGTATTATCTGTTACTGGATATTTAGCTGGCAGTTACTCATAGACATTCTTTACAATGTCTGTCCCGTCCATCATGATTCATTGACTAGCACTCTTGAAGCCCACAGTTACATTCCCTCCTTACCTTGCACTCAGCATGACCCCAGCAGTATAACATGTAAGTTCCCGTAGGAAGGATGTCTATGCTTGGTAGTCATTTTTGTCCATCTCAAACATGTTGGTCAGTCTGTTGACTCAAGTGCCTGTTCAACACTTGAAACACAGGCAGCTTCAGACTCATATGAGCTTGTATGTAGATCTATTCTGCTCTGCAGACACCCTTCCCTAGATTCCAGTTGACACTCCCCATCCAGATTGTTAACTGTCCATTTTCTATTGACCGTGTTTATGTAACCCATACAAATCTCCGTGCACTCTGAAATGCTGAGGTGCCGCGTTCAATCCCATCTGCGATTTGGCAGTAGACGACTTTATATCAAGAGCTGGCTGTTCATAAAGCAGTGACAGCTACTGAATGTAAAAATTGCCTGGTAACATGACAGACAGCACAAAATGCTGGGGTTGGTTTCGTAGTGTCTTGTATGCAACTAACTATGTCACCGAAACATACCATTGAAGTGGGTATTCTATATTTTCACAGGCAGAGTTAAGGTTTAATAGCTTAATGTATACAGTGTTTCTATGCATTTGATGCCTTCTCCTCCGTATATGGTTTCTCCAAGTGCCTAATAAGTTTGTTTATTCTTGACATGCATACCATTTCTTGCTTGTTTTTTTTTTCTGTCTATCCACAGCATTGTTTGCTATAGCATCCGCACCACGCACCCATCCTCTAGCATCAGCACCATGCACCCATCCTCTAGCATCCGCACCATGCACCCATCCTCTAGCATCCGCACCATGCACCCATCCTCTAGCATCAGTACCATGCACCCATCCTCTAGCATCAGCACCACGCACCCATCCTCTAGCATCAGCACCATGCACCCATCCTCTAGCATCAGTACCATGCACCCATCCTCTAGCATCAGCACCATGCACCCATCCTCTAGCATCAGCACTACGCACCCATCCTCTAGCATCAGCACCATGCACCCATCCTCTAGCATCAGTACCATGCACCCATCCTCTAGCATCAGTACCATGCACCCATCCTCTAGCATCAGCACCATGCACCTATCCTCTAGCATCAGTACCATGCACCCATCCTCTAGCATCAGCACCATGCACCCATCCTCTAGCATCAGCACCATGCACCCATCCTCTAGCATAAGTACCATGCACCCATCCTCTAGCATCAGTACCATGCACCCATCCTCTAGCATCAGCACCATGCACCCATCCTCTAGCATCAGCACCATGCACCCATCCTCTAGCATCAGCACCATGCACCCATCCTCTAGCATCAGCACCATGCACCCATCCTCTAGCATCAGTACCATGCACCCATCCTCTAGCATCAGTACCATGCACCCATCCTCTAGCATCAGTACCATGCACCCATCCTCTAGCACCCGCACCATGCACCCATCCTCTAGCATCAGTACCACGCACCCATCCTCTAGCATCAGTACCACGCACCCATCCTCTAGCATCAGCACCATGCACCCATCCTCTAGCATCCGCACCATGCACCCATCCTCTAGCATCAGCACCATGCACCCATCCTCTAGCATCCGCACCATGCACCCATCCTCTAGCATCAGTACCACGCACCCATCCTCTAGCATCAGTACCACGCACCCATCCTCTAGCATCATCACCATGCACCCATCCTCTAGCACCATGCACCCATCCTCTAGCATCAGCACCATGCACCCATCCTCTAGCATCAGTACCATGCACCCATCCTCTAGCATCAGTACCATGCACCCATCCTCTAGCATTGGCACCATGCACCCATCCTCTAGCATCAGTACCATGCACCCATCCTCTAGCATTGGCACCATGCACCCATCCTCTAGCATCCGCACCAATCACCCATCCTCTAGCATTGGCACCATGCACCCATCCTCTAGCATCAGTACCATGCACCCATCCTCTAGCATCAGTACCATGCACCCATCCTCTAGCATCAGTACCATGCACCCATCCTCTAGCATTGGCACTATGCACCCATCCTCTAGCATCAGTACCATGCACCCATCCTCTAGCATCGGTACCATGCACCCATCCTCTAGCATCCGCACCATGCACCCATCCTCTCTAACCTTTCACATGTGTTTTGTCAGATATTTGATACACTACCTATTGATTTTGGTGGGGAAAATGGGACATGGATGATGAACTTTTCCCTGGGTTTCCGATTTAGTTAAAAAAACAAAACAACGATGCATTAGGCTATGCCATTTTCAGGTTAAAGGTGGGCAAGGGCTAGGTAAGATTGACAATACTTCTATACCCACAAGAGGTTGCACACAGCTGAGTTCATTCTGAGTGTGTGTCTACTTTATGTAGACAGTAGAAGCTCTTCTCCATGTGGCTTCTCAGCTCCCATTTTTCATTGAGAATAAAACAACAACAAAAATAGACAAGCTTGTCAACTAAGTAAGTTTTTTTTTTAAAAATTAGATATGTTGGGCCAAAATGCGCGGAATGTAACTGCCTGCTTCTGTATCACAACACAGCATGTCAGTGATCCTTTTAAGGGCAAATGCAGAAGAAGAAGAAGTTCTCGAAGGCACTTTAGTTGGGAGTCAAGTCTGGTTTGAGTAGGGAGGGGTGACATCTATGAGGTAACATGTTTACTACTACTGTCTCAGTAAAACATATCAGCATTACATCTTGTCTCTTCTGCTGACTATTTGTGGATCTTTTTTCAATATCATATACACAGCAATATCATGTTGATTTGTTCCAGAACCTAGCAGCAGACAAGAGTTACAATAACCTGGATCTCACACTTGGGGAGACACTAAAAAACAGCGAGGTAAGATTACATAAGACTGAAACTTGTGACAGTAACAATGTCAGATTCCTCACTAATCACTCTAAGACTGGTATATCAGCTTGCACTCCCCGTGTGGGTTCCAAGGCCCCATTGTGGGGGGAGATAAAGATTAGACCCACAGTGTCCCTAACAAGCATGTCCTATGGGTAAACTAATTAGGGTTTTTTTTTGAAGTGCATCTGTCTAAGGGGCAAGAAACCAAGCCAGATCTGTCCAATGGATGTGCATGCACAACTTAGGCTCTGGATGTGGACACAAGGACCAGAACTTTTAGCTGGAGTTGACTGCCGCTGGATGTGGACACAAGGACCAGAACTTTTAGCTGGAGTTGACTGCCGCTGGATGTGGACACAAGGACCAGAACTTTTAGCTGGAGTTTACTGCCGCTGGATGCAAAGAAGAAGGATAAGAATAGTACACAGTAGGCAATCTGAAATAGTGGTGAGGTACGATTTAAAAAAAACTGGAAGAGGTAGGACGGTCAAAAATGAATCTTTAAATAGGGAAGAGGTAAGACCACTCAATAGTCATAACAAAACACTGGGAGGTTAGATTACTCGATAGTCACAAATATGGCTAGATATCAAACTGGATGTCTGTAAGTAGATTTTACACTGTAGATAGATGCATGTAAGCAGATATCAAACTGGATGTATGTAAGTAGATTTTACACTGTAGATGCATGTAAGCAGATATCAAACTGGATGTATGTAAGTAGATTTTACACTGTAGATGCATGTAAGCAGATATCAAACTGGATGTATGTAAGTAGATTTTACACTGTAGATGCATGTAAGCAGATATCAAACTGGATGTATGTAAGTAGATTTTACACTGTAGATAGATGCATGTAAGCAGATATCAAACTGGATGTATGTAAGTAGATTTTACACTGTAGATGCATGTAAGCAGATATCAAACTGGATGTATGTAAGTAGATTTTACACTGTAGATGCATGTAAGCAGATATCAAACTGGATGTATGTAAGTAGATTTTACGACTGTAGATGCATGTAAGCAGATATCAAACTGGATGTATGTAAGTAGATTTTACACTGTAGATGCATGTAAGCAGATATCAAACTGGATGTATGTAAGTAGATTTTACACTGTAGATGCATGTAAGCAGATATCAAACTGGATGTATGTAAGTAGATTTTACACTGTAGATGCATGTAAGCAGATATCAAACTGGATGTATGTAAGTAGATTTTACACTGTAGATGCATGTAAGCAGATATCAAACTGGATGTATGTAAGTAGATTTTACACTGTAGATAGATGCATGTAAGCAGATATCAAACATATGAACAACAGAGATAAACAGTTTACACAAAACATTCAAGATCTCAAGGTTTATTCACTCATGCAACCTTAGATAAACATGAACAGAAAAGAATGCAAATAATAAAGAAGAACAGTTTTCCATCACATTATTATTAGTTAAATATCATAAATTGTGGAGTAGAGTTGAAGAATTGAGTAATAGTGTAATATTGTCATCATCATCATCATCTAGCAGATGTTTATAGAACACAGCTGCCATCACAACGCAACCAAAAGAAACGCTGCCCCTTGCCAGCTGTTCAGCCCAAGGTGTCTGTTGTGTTCTGTGCCCATTTTCCTACTGGTTGACTCCTGCCCCTCTTTCCCAGCACCTTGCCCTCTGCTACTGTTCTTCCCAATCCACTGTTGATTGATATGGCCAAGGTATTTTACTTTCTGAGACAAGGTACTGTTTTCCTTCATGTTCAAATCTCTTAGAATATCAAAAAAATTTTCATCTTGGTCTATGGTATTTTGAGAAACATTTCAGCTCAAAAGCTGAATACAGGAAGCTAATCTCTTGCTCCATGTATCCCATCAATCTGTTCCTTCAGCTGTGATGCATGTTCTGGTAATTTTGACTTTGATTTTCTTACTGGTGCTTAGCCAAAGATTTTTAATGGTGTAACGTTTATATGTAAGAATGTATGTCCTGCTTCAGTCTGTCAACATTTATCCACAGCATAATGAGAAAGTTGCTTCATGTCACAAGTGGGAGACTTTGAGCTGTGTGATGGAGAAGATTGTCAGAGCTGAAGTGAGTTTTTGTCTGCTGCAAGCAGCAGCAAATATGATCTGTTGTTCTTTTCAACATCCACAGTGTATTTGCCTCATTGTACCTAATTCATCTAGTTTGCAGTAACTGTATACTGAAGTCACTAAGTACTCGTCTGCCGTCTAGTTTACAGTAACTCTTTCCAGTATATAGTAGCCCTGCCTGATATAATTTAGTATATTTCTACTATGCTGTATATAATTCATGTCTAGTATACAATAGCTAGGTCTAGTATATATAAACCCTGTCTGATATAATTTTGTATTTTCTACTAGACTGTAAATAGTTCATCTAGTATACAATTGCTAGGTCTAGTATATAGTAGCCCTATCTGATATACTTCAGTATTTTCTTCTATACTGTATATAGTTCATGTCTAGTATACCATAGCTAGGTCTGTCTGATATACTTTAGTATTTTCTGCTAGACAAAATAGTTTTGTCTAGTAATACATAGCTAGGTCTATGGTAGCCCTGTGATATAGTCAGTATTTTTATTTAGATAGTCTAGTGATGATCTACTGTTAAGTATTCGGTACAGTGTCAGTGTCTAATGTGTAAGGAAAAATCCTCCCTGTTTGTGGGTTCTACGCTCCGCATTGTGGAGAAAACAAGAACAGACCCCCTGCCTTCCCCAGAAGCATGTCGGAGGTGACAAACTCAGGGACATCCTTCAGTGTCAGAGTGCATCTGTCTTAGGGGCAAGGAACCAACAGTCTGCATACTAATAAGCTATATCTGTAAAATGGATGAGCATGCTACACTCAGGTTTTGGAACTTCACTAAAGTTCAGAAGTGGACGAACAACTAGAACTTTTCACTGGATTTTTTACAGCTGAAGAAGAAAGAAGAAAGATAAATCCCTGTCTGGGGAGGTTTTTAAACAACCCCAAAATAATTGTGTACTATATGGAGCCAGTTTCAACATATGGCAGTCAATGTTGGACAGTTAAACAAGCCAAATAGTTTCTCGAGGCCTCAGACATGTGGTTTTAAGATATTTCTATACATTTGGAGATTATTGGTTGTGGAGAAGGGTAGTCGCTGATGCCAGCCAGCTTAGCACTTGGTGACTATGTATGTAATTATTGTTCAGTACCCAGTGGCAGTTTGCAGTATTGAAAAATATATTCAGTCAAAATTAGAGCCTGCCTGAGAGCAATGATAACCCAGTGGCTAAATGCTAGCTGCTGGCTCCAGGCGGGCATTTGGAAACAAAATTGTCCTTGGCTCCCAGGTCAGCTTAACAGAATTGGCTACAAGGTACTGTCCTGGGAAGTAAATGCAGTCAGCATAATGTTGATCCCATTACCCATCGAGTGCAGCTTGATCTTAAAAAAATGAGAGTCTACTATCCTGTGCCCGATTGAACAGTCATACAAAAAGAGACCAGATGCTGTCTAGTGCACCGTAGTCCACTTAGTGAACATAAGCCCATTTAGTTTTGCAGGTGATGTGCGTACAGTTGTCTTGACTAGCTTTACAGTCTACTGGACTGTTATGCTGTCTAGTTTACAACCCTGCCAACTAGTGGACTGTTATATTGTCTAGTTTACAGCTCTGCCAACTAGTGGACTGTTATCCTGTCTAGTTTACAGCCCTGCTTACTAGTATACAGCAGCCCAAGAATAGAACGTGCATGCTCAGATAGCTAGGAGGATGTTATGAGAGAGTAGTAGTAATTGTTTGCTTGTTGCTGAGGAGATCAGAATTTGCTACTCTTAACACATCATTGTGGCCTGGGTTTATCACAGTAACACATGACTGCACATTAGGTAAATGGAGCTAACTATGGTATGTTTGTTTAATACAGCAGTCAGTTCTCAGTTGGTGATTTGGTCAATGTCACGCTGGCTGACTTTAATTTCTGGAACAAATATAGTCTGCCTCATCCTGGGAGTCTAGGTCCCTTTGTACAATGTTAGGCAAGTATACTAGCTAATGTGCTTCCAAGACTGCAGCAGGTTGACTGGGTTAAGAGAGAGATTGGGGGGGGGGGGGGGGGGGGGGGGGGTGGGGGGGGGGGGGGGGGGTTTGGGAGGGGTGGGGGTAGAGAGAGGGAGAGAACATATAAGATAAAGAACATAAAATTCAGGTTGTGGAAAAATATGATCATATATACCACTGACGGTGAGTGGTGACATTATGTCAAAGGCCTCTGTAGCCAAAAGTAGTAGTGCCTCCCTGTAGCACTCTAGAAATATCAGGTCTGCTTGAATACATTCTGACTGCTGCTTATCCACTGTGCAGGTGTACACATCATCCGTGACTATACAAGGTGATTTATAAACTGGTTTCATTTTGGTACCAGGACATGCAGGTGTAAGATGGAGTGAAAGGCGGACAAGTTATTGACCAGACTGATACACAGTGTAATAAACCTTGGCTTGACTTGATCTGCACTTTGGCTTATTACCTATTGGCTTTCGCCACGGCTCGCTCTCTGGATGTTTACTGTTATAAAACCTGCACTGCTTTAACGTCTAGGGTTGACAACACAAACGCTGCTCAGCTTCTTGGTACATTCTGTCAGTTTATTCTCGTCCATTTATTTCACATGTTCAAACATTATTTACACTTTATCACTCGCGACATATTCGAACGCTAACATTTGCGCAATATAAAGATAACATCTTCAAATACTACAACCGTCTACTCTGACTTCTCATGATCGACTGACCACGAGGCTAGCTCGGGCTTCGCCTCGCTTACTCCACCGGCCACAAGTATCTCGTGCCGTCACTTGTAGCACGGACTTTCTGCTTGCCGCAATGTAATCGTGAAGACCATGCACAGCACCTCATCACATACTCCCCCCCTTCTTAACAAAATGATACTTTATGGAACATCAAGTATCATTTTCCCTTTTACTGATAGATGAATCAATGGAACATAAATCTAACTACACTACTAGGGATTACCATTCCTAATTACCCTCAGTTACCGCCCTTGGTTTTAAATTTTTACTGTATGCTTTTTGAAGTATTGATCTGGTTTTGCACCTATTCATCTATAGTATAACTTCATCACTATATCTATTCTATGAGGTTCAAGTAAAATAATCATTGTGATGATGGTGATGATAATGGTCAGATTTGAGATATTTACTACAGGTATAATAAATCAATTTAAATGTATTACTGCTAGGAATTGTGGTTCCTGACTATCCTTAATTACTGCCCTTTAAAACTGCTTTTAGTATTTACTGCATGCTTTCCCTGTACTGAGCTGGTGAAGAGTTTATACCATCTTTACACCTATTGCATCTGTAGTATTGTTTAGTCACTATATCTAATCTATCAGGTTCAAAGTGAAATGATGATAGTGATGATGATTGTCAGCTTTGAGATATTTACTACATAGAAAATTGGATTTAACCAATACTTCTACATCACCTTTCACAGGGTGTTAAACCCCAAGGACTCTTAGCCGATATGATAGTGGTAAGATATATTTATCATAGTGCTTCTAGTTTCCCAAAGGCCTCTATAACACCTTTTACAGGGTACGATTACCGGGAATCGACCTTGACACAGAACGCCACTTACATTGACTGTTCAGCTCTGTTATTAGCTGTCAAGTTCAATTGGTCCAACCAGCTGTGTTCTCGGTGATGTTCCGGTTATCTTAGTTACCCAACCCCAAGGAATCTACCATATAAAAAAAAATGCATGTTGAGATATATTTTCATAGACCAAAGTCTCACCTTTCACAGAGTAATTACCCAACTCCAAGGAATCCAACATGTAAACAATGATAATTGAGATATATTTTTCATAGATCTTAAGAGTTTCCTCCAAGTCTATAACCACCTTTAACAGAGTATTCAACTCCAAGGAATCTCAGATGAATTGATGACTTTTGGGATGATTTTTAATAGAGTTTAGGGTTTCCCCATCAGTCTATATCACCTTTAACAGAGTATTCAACTCCAAGGAATCCCACACACCTTTTCCCCCTTTAAATGGATACAGATGAGTTCAACTCCTCTACTGTGCTTGTGCTTGGATGTGTGCACTTTTTCTTTACCATCAGTATGTCTATTCAGCATCAGTATAACTATAGCCTGTTCCTAATCTTGGGTGTGGTGTCCCTATGCTGTGTACCTATGCTAAACATTTCAAATTAAATATTTTTATCAAAGTCATTCTGTGGAAAAAGATTTCTATATGATCTATCGCTAAACCTTGATCTAATTCCTCTGTGGTGTTCCTGGGGAGAGAATTTTTTTTTTTTTTTTTTTTTAAACTTTTGAACTACTGCCATTACCTGAATACTAAACTATTCCTAATGAACTACTAACCTAAGTAAACTTCATGTACACTATTAAAATACTACCCACAAATCTTTCATTCATCATTCATACCTGTTTTATTCTCTTTCATTCCCATTCATTCCATTAAACTATCCTTGATCCTTCCCTGCAGGCTGTGTGTGTCTTGCTTGTACTCTGGCGCTTGCTTTTAAGGTTCTCATTCCTTGGTTTGCTCGACAGTCTGCTCTGCTCTGGGGTCTCTCTTAGTATGCTTGAACTGATAATCTTAGAGATATACTGACTAAAAATATACTTTAATGAGTTAACACAATGCTATTATCAGTGTTCAGTGACTGCATACACTGATATGCCACCTATAAAATAATAATGGAATTAAACGGAAGGTGTTCAATACACACAGTATGTGACTGTTTTTTATAAATGAAATCAGGTGTTTATGCACTTTTTTAAAATACTTCATCATTAATTTGATATTTATTTACACAAAACTTTAGGTATGTAACATAATCTAACTTTCACAGTAGCTATCACAATTGTGTAAACACGATGTAATACTGACGTTTTTGTTGTTTTTGATTGAGCTTAAACAGTCGGAATGCTTCATTATTCTCGCATTCTTTATTTTATGATACGTTTGGTATTCGACGATCTTGATATTGTATAGATGGTCTTGAAGTGTCGCTAAATATTTGATGATTTTGAGATGTTTCAATGGTCGATTTTGAGGTGTCTGGAGAAAATAATTTTGTGTTCCTTGATGGTGATTTTGAAATTTGAATAATTCGGTGGCTGATATGTTTCTGTTCATTCACTGTACAGTACTGGTTGGTGATTTCTGATTTTGATTGAAATTTGATAATCTTGAAGATGAAGACTGCTAAACTGTCAATTCTTGATGATTGTTCAGGTTCACTCTTGATCGTTTGGTTGAAGGTGGTATGTAGCTTCTTGACTGATAATAATCTTGAATTTTATGCATGGTGATATGTTAGATTGATGTTGATGTTCAGGTTCACTCTTGATCGTTTGGTTGAAGGTGGTATGTAGCTTCTTGACTGATAATAATCTTGAATTTTATGCATGGTGATATGTTAGATTGATGTTGATGTTCAGGATGATGGACTGTATGGTTTCAAGTTAGTAAATAGTGATACTTCAGTTGATGGTGATTTTCCTTATTTCAGCTGTTCTTATGTTTGTTGATGGATTTGTATGTACTTGGATACCACTTTGTTTTAATAATATGGATGTTGACGGAAATGCATTTGTTCCCAGAATGTTATATCTTCTTCAGAACAGTCATTGATACCTTTTAGATCTCCTAGAATCAAATCTGTCGAAATGTCTTTCATTACTAAGACTTTCATTGGCTTGGTCATCCATGGTGATTTTAAATATATATATGCTGTTGGTAGCTGTACTCGTCCATCATTATAATAATATACCAGTTCTCCACTATAATCTGATGGTTTTAGCATTTTATCCGATACTATATTGAAGAATGTCTTTCTATGTACTTGCATTTGGGCTGGTTTGTTGTTAATGAAACATTTAGTTGTTTTTCCCAGATATTTCGGGTTTAGTGCTCTCCTTATACTATCATAAGGGAAGCCGCTATTATGATAAAAATACGGGAACTCTTTATCTACAGTTTGTCTGTCTATTGTTTCACAGTCAGATTGTTTCATACACTGAGTTTCACTTTCACTTTTTCCTTGCTTGTGATTCTTAGCTGAATCAGATTTAGATTTCCTTTCTGAAAAAGTTGGTGGTTGCTGATTAATTTCCATTGTTTCTGAGTTCGACTTTTTCTCTGTTTCAGTGGCTGTTGTCTTTTTTGTTTTGACTTTCTTGCTTGTATTACTACTCTTGCTGGATTCTAGCTCTGCAATCACAATTTCGTTCTTTATTTTTTTAGTTCCTGGACATTTCAATTGGCTTTTTCCTATGCAAATTGTATGTGGCTCTGTTGTTTTTCCTTGATTCTTTCTACCGTAGCACAGTGAACAATCTAGAGTTGGAATATCTTCCGAATTCATTATTTCTGAATTAGTTTTTGCAAAGAAGGATCTTTTTTTGTCTTTTAACATCTGTTTTCCAACACAGTGTTTTACAATATGTCCGAATGCTTTACAGAAGTGGCACTTTTTAAGGTTATTCTTTTGTTTATTTTGCCACTTTTTATTTACCAAGTCTTCAATATAACTTGAATATTTAGGATCTCTGTCGCAGATAGTTGTAGAACTGTGCTGGTACTTACAAAAAATGCACATCTTGATCTTCTGGTTACTTATCGATGTATCTTTCATTGTTGTCGCTGAAGATACTTGCGAGACAGTGTTCTTACTTTTTACCAACCTTTTAGATGCCATTCTGATAAACGCACAATCGATGTCACCTTAGTAAGAAAACTGATCGTAACTGTACATAAAATTAGTTCATAGTCTGCTAGTTTCCGCGAAACAATGGTCACAAACCTGATTTAATTCATAAACTAGATTTGAAGTTTTCATGATGTGTAACTTTGGTAAACCTGAAACTTCTTGAATCCACAAACCTTGGTAATACCATGTGTGTGTGGCAGGCAGGGCGTAGATGACACACCGGTTTTCATTGGTCGGCAGCTGACCTGTCGGCGCTTGCTGTGTTAATTATAGGTTCTGCTCGGGTGAAGTACACTGTTTTCAGTTTATCTTACCTTGGAAGAAACAAAAATGTTTTCCTATGCTTATGGTCCACGTGGTTTCGAATTTCCTTTGGACGGGCTCCCAATTGTAATAAACCTTGGCTTGACTTGATCTGCACTTTGGCTTATTACCTATTGGCTTTCGCCACGGCTCGCTCTCTGGATGTTTACTGTTATAAAACCTGCACTGCTTTAACGTCTAGGGTTGACAACACAAACGCTGCTCAGCTTCTTGGTACATTCTGTCAGTTTATTCTCGTCCATTTATTTCACATGTTCAAACATTATTTACACTTTATCACTCGCGACATATTCGAACGCTAACATTTGCGCAGTATAAAGATAACATCTTCAAATACTACAACCGTCTACTCTGACTTCTCATGATCGACTGACCACGAGGCTAGCTCGGGCTTCGCCTCGCTTACTCCACCGGCCACAAGTATCTCGTGCCGTCACTTGTAGCACGGACTTTCTGCTTGCCGCAATGTAATCGTGAAGACCATGCACAGCACCTCATCACACACAGAGTGACTTACGAGACGTGAGATATACATTTGTGTGAATCAAGTGGCGACTGAATCTACAATCATGGCCAGACTGCAAGAACAGTCAATGGAAAAGGGGTGAGGCCAGAGAAAAGCACTTTGTGGAAGCCAAGGAAGAATAGTTAACACACAGAACTGGTTTTGCCAGCCGCTACATGTTGGAGAATATACTGGGAGTTGATCTGAGCACCTATGCACTGAATGGTTTGCTGTGCAGTGAGCCTGGTCTGTCAGCTAACTAACTGAGAATCTGTTGTAAAGCTGTCCTGTCTAGTTTACAGTTTATAGCAGTTATTTTGTACTAATTAGATCCAACACATCTGTGTTTACTGAGCAGATGTGCAGCTGCCCAGTTTTGGAGTGTCAGAGAATGATGCATGTATGTATTCCTCATGAACAGGTACACAGGCTGGTTGTGGTCGATGAGGAGGATCATGTGGAAGGAATTGTGTCACTCTCTGACCTGCTCAGTTACATTGTTCTCCGCCCAATGGGTATGGATTTACAAAATATTATTCTTCATGATTCTCTGACCAGTTGTAAGGGTTTCATTTTAATTTTTCTTCAATATTTTTCTCTTATCCTTTGTTACTGGTTTTTTTCTTCATTATTCCAGACCATTGGATAATGATTTCATTTCCATTGCTCATCCTGATAATGATTAACTTAATGTATGTTCATTTCTTGATTGTGAGAAGTGGCTGTTTTTTGCGTTTACAATGTTGGACTCTAATGCAGGAGACCTGGGTTCAACCCCCGGTAAGGTGATGAATTTTGTTTTGTAGGGGGCAGAATGAAACATTCTTACCTGTACATACATGTCAACATCACTAGCCGTGGGGCACTCAATCCTCGGGCTCATGGCATCCCTGTCACACCACCCTCAACAGTAGTACAAGCTTTTCTTCTTCTTCTAAGTGATCCCTAGCTCAAAACTCTTGACGGAAAGCTTTTGTTGTTCATCCACTTCTAGACTGCAGTCATGTTCCAGAACCTGAGTGTTGTACAGATCTGACTTACTTGTATGCAGACTGTTGGTTCTTTGCCTCTCAGGCAGATGCACTCTGACTTCGAAGGAAGCTCCAAGTTAGTCCACTCTTACGACTTGCTTTTGGGTAGACAGTGGGTCTATCCTTGTTTTCCCTATAATAGGCATATGAACCCACATGGGGGATGGTACATACAGACAGCAGTGACAGGTTGTTTTGGTTCATGTTTGAATGTTATTTGCTTGACTATGATTCTGTGATACTTGCCCCTGTTATTCTTATCTCCAGCTTCTGTACTGCATGTCTAGCACTGAGTTTTGCCTTCTCTCTTCCAGACATAGTTGACCTATTTATTCTACCCTCAGTTTGACATTTGGTCTCTACAAATTGCAATCCAACACCTAAAAGGTTAAATGTATTCAGAATGTACACAATACTTTCTATATGTTGATATTCTCACAGTATGTAGGGCATTTAATCCACTGCCACTATCATTTCATTATAGATCAGGCAATTGCTTGGTAACATAATGTTCTTTTAAAATTTTACTTCAGAATATTATGTTGGATTTCAAGCTAAAGCTAATAGAGCCTTACCAGACTAAAGTTTCTCAATATTGCCAGAGGCTCAAGATTACAGTATCTGTGGCCCATTTCACTCAACCCTCTACTCCAGTGCTAATCATTTTTCTGTGGTCAAGAAAAGCAGTATGCTAAAATTAGTTTGATCTGTCTAGTTCTAAAGAGAATCAATTCTGAAATGATAATTGTGTATGTGCGTGCATGTTCATGCACACACTTGTTAGTTTTCTCTGTGTTTAATTTTATTTCTTTGACTGCAACTCTGTGTAGGGATAATTTTTCTGTCCTGCTTCTTCTTTTGGCTTTTTTGGTTGAAGGGCAGTGTCATCAGATAGTCTGACCGAGAAAACACATGAGCGGCACAGAATACATCAGATAGACTGACCGAGAAAACACATGAGCGGCACAGAATACATCAGATAGACTGACAGAGAAAACACCTGAGCAGCACAGAATACATCAGATAGACTGACCGAGAAAACACATGAGCGGCACAGAATACATCAGATAGACTGACCGAGAAAACACATGAGCGGCACAGAATACATCAGATAGACTGACCGAGAAAACTCATGAGCCGCACAGAATACCAAAGGGCAACAGATGAATGAGCAAAGGTGGAAACTAAACTTGTCTGTTAGGACCTAGAAATGCAGCCGCAATAGAAATATGTGGTGACTGCCAGACAGTTTGTGCAGCGATTGTAATTTGATCAACTGTTGAAGTAGACTGTTCATGTAATAAATAGATGTAGTAAAGATAAAATCTAACAGAACATTGCCATCCTGTGTTGGATGAGCATCTGCATTCTGAGACAGCCCACATTCTTGTCGGAATACAAATTACAGCATCTGTTTGAGTATTATTATTACAGACGCTATGGTATCAGCAAGCCTTGTTTGTGTCAATGCTCCTCTTTACTCCTTTACTCCACTCTTTTCATAAACAGTCTGCATAAAAAGATGAACACAACAATTGACAATTCAAAAATTACATTTACATTTTTCTTCCTTTCTAGCGGAAGCAGCTACTCAAGCATCTCTGATGGAGGCAGAATTGATGGTTACAGAGTCCACAGTGCTGACCTCCTGATAAACATTTCTCTCCCAAGGGACTTCATTGAAACAGCTGAACCTGACAATGCAAACGACAATGCTGAAAACCAGATGTGTTTATAAAGTGGGCTCCTGAACACGTGAACCTAGATCTCATCATGGCACAGCCTGGTTTGACTGACAGTTGCCCGACCAACCCTCCCATGTCCTAGGGGTAGCAGAGGATGTGTGTAGCTGAGTTGTCAACCAGTACCTGCTAGAATTAGTTCCTTTAGTTCACCAGTTTACATTCAAGATTGACATTACATCCATGGATAACATGTTTGTCTGGGTTGTGGATAACTGCCTGGTAAAACTTGTGTTTGTAGCCTGATTTACATCTACACATTTACTTTGCATCCATGGAAATCATGTGTACCTGGATTATGAAGCAGTAGCTACAGACTCATTTAGGTAAAGCATTCCATCCAGCAATTACTTCCCATTAAGATGATAGCATATATCGAGCTGTTTGTATGTATCCATGGATTTATATGAATTTTCAGGGATTAGAATATAGCCAGAAGTTAGTGTGTATCCAAGAGTTAGCATATATTTATGAATTGGCATGAAACCATGAATTAGCTCACATCTATTAATTAGCATACATTCATATATTTGCATACATCTATAAATTAGTATATATCCATGAATTAGCATACATCCGTGAATTAGCATACACCCATAAATCAGCATAAACCCGTACATTAGCATACATCTGTGAATTAGCATATATACATGAATTAACATACATTGATGAATCAGTACACATATGTTGAGTGGCTGTTTACAAAAAGTGTGTCTGGTTTAACTCTTTGAGTCCTAGGGAGTTTAGCATCACAGGCCCAAGGGGTAGTCAAGAAAAAAGTAAAATCGGCGCATCTTGCGTTCATTGGGCTTCTAGGTAGGAATCTATGAACGTATGACGCGTTCCTTGGGACTCAAAGAGTTAATGCACTGGCATCAATTTGTTACTGTGACCATGTTCCATGACATTGGCTTCATAAAACGATGTTCCAAGAAACTAAGACCTGATGTTGACATGTTCCATGAGAGTATGAACCTAATGATATATTCCATGAACCTGACATATTTGTAAGGTCTGTGGGACTCGGACATTACTTAGCTGTGTTCCATGAGAATGATTTTATTTAAGCATGTTCCATGAGACTATGACATTATTTAGCTGTGTTCTGTTAGAATATGACATCACTTAGCCATGTTCCACAAGACTATGACATCACTTAGCCATGTTCCACAAGACTATGACATCACTTAGCCATGTTCCACAAGACTATGACATCACTTAGCCATGTTCCACAAGACTATGACATCACTTAGCCATGTTCCACAAGACTATGACATCACTTAGCCATGTTTCCACAAGACTATGATATCACTTAGCCATGTTCCACAAGACTATGACATCACTTAGCCATGTTCCACAAGACTATGATATCACTTAGCCATGTTCCATGAGACTATGATAATAGCTATGTTCCATGAGACTATGACATCATTTAGTCATGTTCCATGAGACTTATGATGTCACTTAGTTCCATGAGACTATGAAATCACTTAGCCATGTTCCATGTGACTATGATATCACTTAGCCATGTTCCACGAGACTATGACATCACTTAGCCATGTTCCATGTGACTATGATATCACTTAGCCATGTTCCACGAGACTATGACATCACTTAGCCATGTTCCATGAAACTATGACATCATTTAGCCATGAGAATCAGGCCCCTTTTTGGCAAGTTCCCTGAGATGAACCTCCATTTGTCAAGTCTACAGAGACAGTAGCCTGATGTTACCATGTTCCCTGATAACTTAGGCATATATTGGCAGTGTTCCAAAACATTGTGGGTCCAGGTTTCCTTGTTTGACAGTGACTTTGACCTCATCCTCATCCATTCTGAAGAACTAGAGGACATTAGTTTATGTCTGTGAGGTCAGTTTGATGAAATATTTCACAGAATAGTTACAAGATTCTTTCTGTGAAATTGTTTCATTTATGCCAGTGACTTCAGAAACTATTTTTCTGCACCAATGAGATATGAGAGAAATGTTTTAGTTAGTCATATTTTAAGGCTGAGATAGTTTTCGAATGAGTGTCCCAGAGAGTAAGGGCCTTCACCTGGAGCAGTGGCTCTCATCCTTCCTAATGCTGCGACCCTTTAATACAGTTCCCTCTTGTTGTGGCGACTTCTTCCATAACTTCAATGATTATGTGTTTTCTGATGGTCTTAGGCGAGCCCTGTGAAAAGGTCGTTTAACCTAAAAAAGGGTCACGACCCGTAGGTGGAGAACCGCTGAGCTAGAGACTAATCTCATACATATGGCTGTGTGTGGAAGCCAGCACACAGCTGAGTCGACCACAGTAGGTTAGTGGAGAGAGATATGATTGCTAGACTGGAATCTGCAGGACAGTTGACTTCAGTGTGTTAGATGTAGCACTGCACACTTCAACTCCTTGTCTACACGGTGCGCCCATCCCAATATATACTGATTGATATACTGATTAAGGTTTGCATAGATCATTGTTATCCAAGACCATAAATGCTGTGGCTATCATTGTCACAGATTCTTGAGTGTTAGATACATGTGTTAGCTTGGTGATGACCTGACTGATGCATTGCAGTGTTTGCTAAGTATTTGTTCTTTCCAGACAAATATTAACTCTCACACTCAGTTCACCTGTTCTGGTATTTGCTGTCTTGTTTTCTTGTACCAGCGCACTGCATGCAACTGTCTTGTACTCTGTCAGGACAGGGTACTTGGAAGTTGATGGTAGGAGACTAACATTATACTTGTGTCATTTTATGAATTACTTTGACATGCAAAGGTCACAGATGTCATCATACCATCCACCGAGTCGGGTTTCTTTCCTATGTTTATATAATTTATAAAAATTGTAGTTTGTTTTAGTTGTCAGCGACATAGTTTTTCACTTTTTTTAAGGCACATGATTGTCATTTGATTGCACAGGCATGTGTCTAGCTGGTAAACTATGCATAGCTGCAAATGGAGAGGTATTTTCTTGATTGTTTTGGGGCATAATGTCTGTCTGTACAATATTTGCTAAATGATGTTTGTCTGCTGCAAATCTGACTTTGTGAGTGACTCAGTCATGGCACACTGACTGAATCATGACGTTGTGAGCAAGTAATTCATGACATTATGAATGAGTGAATTGTGGTATATTGTGAGTGAATTGTGGTATTGTGAGTGAATTATGACATTGTGAGTGAGTGAATCATGACATTGTGAATGAGTGAATTGTGGTATTGTGAGTGAATTATGGTATTGTGAGTGAATTGTGGTATATTGTGAGTGATTTGTGGTATTGTGAGTGAATCATGACATTATGAGTCAGTGAATTTTTATGTCAATTGAATAAGTCATTGAATCATGGTATTATGAGTAATTATTAAATCATTAACCTGCTATTGTATTGTCTGATTAGTCACATTTGATTGTGATATGCATGGGAAAGGTATTAAATCGTGGATATGCTACATCTGTTTGTTAGTGTTGGTAGCTACGGTCTGTGTTGTGCAGTTATTACCACTGGCTTGTCAAATTATGATTACATAAATGCCAAAACCCATTGACAGGCAAGCCATTGTTGAATCTTGCAAACCTGATTGCTGTAGTTAGGTTCAACGACCTTAGTTAGTTACAGTTCAAAGATTGTGATTGATTGTTTTTGAATTTATGGCTCACAATCAATTGTGATTTTAAATGTAAGATTATCGTTGACTCTGTGTTAGTAGATTCCTGTATCATGATTATTTGTGCTGTTGGATTCAATGACCAGCACCCCTGACATTAGTGCTGCCTTCTATTCTCCTGTTAGATTTCAGCTGTGGGTCAAAACTGCTTGCCAGTGATACCTCAGTGATAGAGGTCACAGGGTCACGGCTTGAGTCGCTTGATAATTAATATTGGTTTTTAGGCCCTGGGGAGTATGTTCCATTTCTGTGTTTATTGAATACTGCCTTTATCCAGTTTCTTTGTTTCTTTTTTCTTCTTCTTTAAAACACTTTAGAAATTAAGATAAACTTTAAACGAATTTATTAGTGAACCATAACTTTTAATTTTAAGGATTGTGGGGGAGGGAGGGGGGGGGGGATTCCCACCGGATAATGACCCACTTTTTCTTAAGCATTCTTGGGGCAAAAGGGTTTCGAAGCATTTGTTCACATAGAATGTGCTTTGTTCATTGACAGTAAACTGTTGTCTGTCTCAGCAGATCAGCTTGGTTCCCTCATCCATTGTATCACCAGAGTGGACGAGGACATCTGTATGGCTTATAGTCTATCAGCCAGTATTTGTTACGTTACACAGTATTTGTTGCTACATATTAGTGTGTTACTGTTACATCTGAAATTTTACATCCGAGAGATTTGTTACATCTGAAATGTTTGGCATATGTCAGTAATATTGTTAGATCTGATATGTTATTCCCTGAGAAGAATTTGTTACATCTGATAGCTTTTGTTGTTCCACCCAAAATCTTGTTAGAGTCAAAGGTATTTATGTGACATCTGAGATATTGTTTCATGTAAAATGGCTTGTTCCGTGTGACATTTTCTTTTATTTTGTGTGAAATATATCACATCCAACAGTTGCATATGTCAGTTTTTGTGTAACATTTGAGAGGTTTTGCCGAGATGTTAAGATCTCAGTATTTTTGTCACATGTGAGAATATGTTTGATGTTTAAGAGTATGTTCGTGTGGCATTTTCTTGTGTGAAATGTGTTGACATTAATTTTGTTTGTGTTATGGGTGTATGTGGCAGATTTTATGTGATTCTGCCAGTTTCTACTTTTATATGTGGTATATGTTGTATCCATCAGTTATGTATGTGACTGTTGTTGTGTAAAATCAGATGTATATGACAGGTTTTATGTTACATCAGACAGTTTCTTTCGTGAAAAAGAAGATTTAACCGTAATTTGTATCGAATAGTTTCTTATAAATCTG